AAAAAAAAAAAAAAAAACGGTGCAACGTCTACTCTTTTTCTTAATTCTTCATGGAGTTTCCTTCTAATTTACACAGGATATTTATGCATTGGGTGGAAGGAAATTTGCATTCCAAAATGTTGGACCACTGGGTTGCCAGCCAGAAAATAAACAGTCATACAACACTACTGGTTGTGTGGAACTGCTACAAACTTTAGCATCTATGCATAATGACGTTCTAAATACTGTTGCTGAGGAGTTAGCTAGCGAACTACCAGGATTCAAATATTTAATATATGATTACTTCACTACAGTAATGGAAAGAACAGAGAACCCAACAAAATACGGTGTGTTTATAGCTATGATGGAATAATAATTTTCATTGTGTTATTTCACTGATTTTGTTTTTATGTAACATTTTGTTTTGTATCATGTTTTGAAGGTTTCAAGGAAGGGGATATTGCATGCTGTGGCAGCGGTACTCACCGAGGCGACGGTTGTGGCTACCTGACAGTAGCATATGAACTGTGCAGTAATCCTAATGAATATGTGTTTTTCGATGGCGGCCATCCTACCGAAGCAGCCAACATTCAGTTAACTGAGCTGTTATGGAATGGAACAACAAATGTTACTTGGCCTATAAACTTGAGCCAACTTGTTGAACTCGACAGTACTGATGTCAAGGTTTCTACCGAGAACGTTGATATTTTGATTGATCAACGAGTTGCTTCCGGTCGGGTATCGAAGGCAAACGTGTAGGATAATAAATTTCAAGGTTTGCAGGAGGAAATTAATTAAAACTTATTTTGGGAAGTAATTAAGTTGATGCTGTTATTGCCGAGTATGAAAGGATATTGCCCGTTAATAAAAGGATATTTATGTTCCTAGTCAAAAAAGGTCATCTCACCAACTTTTAGTTCTTGCTTCCACCTAACATTCTTGAATCTACATCAAAGAAAATTGGATGGACAAATCTTTGTTAGAATATCTGATGTGCACTTCCATCTTGCAGAAAATGCACGTGCAAAATTGAAGCATGAGAAAGCTTCATCTTGAAGTTTTTGTTTTTATTCATCCCAATCTTATCTTAATTATTTATAATTTTTAAACAGTTGGGACCTATTTTACATTATTTTCAACAGGTCCCCGGGTCTATGTGTATTTACAGATGTAGCTCAACCACTGCCTCATTTTGCTTATGTACTGTGAAGAAGTCAAGAAGTCCAGTCCTATTCCTATTAAAGGCAAATGGCAAATTTAAGAAACCGATTTCTTGTCCTGCTTTTGTTTTCCAGCTTTGTTATCCTAACAACCTCCCAACATGAATCAATCAAGTCCAAACAGAAACATGTTGCCATGTTTGTGTTTGGAGATTCGGTCTTCGATCCTGGAAACAATAACTTCCTCAATATCAGCGTTACCCAGGGGAAGGCAAATTTTCCACCCTATGGGGAGACCTTTTTCCACTATCCCACCGGGAGATTTTGCGATGGACGCATAATTCCTGATTTTACCGGTGAGTCAACTCTTAAATCTCTCTCTCTCTCTCTCTCTCTCTCTCTCTCTTTATACTCATCATTAGCTGCTTTGGTAACAGAAATGTTTTAGGTTTTGATACTGATTTTAAATTAAAATTTTTAAGTTAATAAGGATCAACTCGCTCAAGGTCGGATTGGTTTTTCTCTTCTGTTTTTTGTTTGAATGTTGAAATGAAATGGTCCCCTCACAATACAAGTCTTTCCAAATTGTTATGTCCTCTGCAGCATCGTTTGCAGGTTTACCACTATGGAGACCTTATTTAGATCCTGCTAATCATAATTTGCTTGTTGGAGCAAACTTCGCCAGTGGTGGAGCTTGCGTGCTTGTTGAAAATAATCCATATACGGTATTTCATCGATCCTTTAATAATCTGCTTAATTCCGATATCTTACAGGGTGCTTGTTTGTCCAAATTTTGAAGTTGTTATTTCTACTGTCAAAGTCGAAGACGCGTCAAATGTAGTTTTTCTTAATGAGAAATGCTTCTGATTGATATGATTTTTACTGTGGTATAACGTAAGAGTGTGTGGACTGCACAATAATTTCTTCATATTTTAAGGTAGACTTAGTTTCACTACTGATATGAATTTTTCCCAGCTCAACCTACCAATACAACTAGGCTTCTTCAAGGAGGTGGTAAATTTGTTGACACAGCAGTTGGGTGAGTCAGACACCAAGCAGCTGTTAAGGGAAGCCATCTACATTTCTAGCTTAGGGGGTGTGGATTACATGACATTTGCCAGTTCTTCCTCTAATGTTACTGAATCAGAGATGCAAGAATATGTTAACATTGTGATTGGCAATATAACAAACGCAACAATGGTATGTACTTAAAAAAAAAAACACACACACACACACACAGAGTTTGACTTTATTTCTTTAACTGAAATATCTTTTATAATTTGCCTTACACTTAAAAACATCATTAATTCAAAGTTAGAAAAAACAAAAAGACCTCTAATTCATTAAAAATATTTTTGTCTTTACAAAAGCAGTCTCTTGAAGAATCACCGTTCCTTTTTTTTTTAAAAAAAAAATTTGTCATTGATTTTTTCATTTTTATTGGGTGATCAGGAAATATATAAACTAGGGGGAAGGAAATTTGCATTTCAGAGTGTTGGACCTTTGGGTTGTGTTCCAAAAACGAAGGCGGAGTTTAACTCCACTGGGGAATGCGTCGAATTTCTCCAAATTCTAGCAACCATGCACAACAATGCTCTAGCAAAAGTTGCTGAGGAATTAGAAATCAGGCTATCCGGATTTAAGTATTTAATGTTTGATTTCTTCACTTCGCTCATGGATAGAGCAAATAACCCCGAAAAATACGGTGCATATGTCTGTTGCAGAGATTCACTTTCGTTTTTATTGCTTTCTTGTCCTGAATTCCTTAATTTTCTGATGATATGTTTCTTGGATACGATTTTGTGAAGGTTTCAAGGTGGGTGACAATGCATGCTGCGGTGGCGGAGCATACCATGCCCAGACTGCTTGCGGATGGTTAACAGAAGAATATGAATTATGCAGTGACCCCAGTAAATTTGTGTTCTGGGATGCTTTACACCCTACTGAATACTGCTACTCTCAATTAGCTCAGTTGTTGTGGAATGGAACAGGAAACGTTACTTGGCCTCTTAACATGAAGCAACTATATGATCTTGATATCGACGCCGAGATTTCTTCTCAAGACATTGATCTTATATCCGATGCATAATTATTTTTCATATGCAAACAAAGCCCATTTTGTTATGTTGTTTTCATCACTAAAGAATAAGGGTTATATTCCAATCCATTACAATTCCTAAGTTGCATATGCTCGTTTGAAGAATGGCGTAAAATCTTAGAAGGTGCGTGTTAGCAAGAAAATGATGCTCAAAGATGATGGTTTGATATTGAGGTATAGGAACCGTTTCATATTTATTTTGTATGTGAGTACAGAATCAGTATGATGTATAGGTTTTGAGAGATTTGTGCAAATAAGGTATAACCTTTTAAAAATCTTTTAATTAAGGATATGACCCTTTTTTCATTATTAATTAAGGCTATCAACTTTTAAAATTTTTTGGTCAAGAGTATGTTTTTTTCAATATTATTAACCAGGGCTACCTACCTTTCAAATTGTTTCTAATCAAGGATATAATCATATACTTTTAAAAAGTAGTAACCTTGATTAGTAAAAAAGTAAATTCATATCCTTAACTAAATTTTTTTTTAAAAGGTTGTACCCTTATTTGTATGAAATCTCTAGGTTTTGAATACCCCTTTAGACTCCTTAAATAAATTGAGTGCCTTTCAAAAAAATAATTCCTAAGTTTCACAATTACATTAAGTTGCATTAACATATATGTTTTTCCTTTTTGTCTTATTCTATTGCAGTGACTAACTTATTAGGTTGATTTATCAACAGTTCATATGTGTTTGTCAAGCTTATTCTAATCCAATCTCTTTTGTGTGGGAGTCCCACACTGCCACACATACATGCGAACCCCTAACAGGGCAAAACAGAGTATATATACTGGTTGATAACTATATGATGTATAGGAGACTGTATATGGGGATAGGAGCACAGCGAATCTTGTGTTCAATATTTGTTTTGACTGCAAATATGTTAAATACCATGCACAAATTCACAAAGGGTGACTGCTATTATTAGCCTTACCCAGCGGAACTTCTACAACTGGTAACTCTTCACAGAGTAGATAGAAAACGGCATGCTCTGTTCATTCAAACCAGTCAGTCAACCATAACCTAACTTCTTTCTTTCTTTCCTCATCTCTTTCTTCTTTTCATTTACTTTTTTTTTTTCAAAGTTAATGATACTGTTTGATATAATGATTTAAAATTATTAATTAATAATTTTATCTAATTTAGTAAATAAAAATATTTAAATCCTTAATAATAAGTGACGAATCTATTAACCATTAGTTTCATGCTATTGGATCAAAATACGACATTAGCAACTTCATTAGGGTGTTAGCAAGGTTTACTGTCCATTCAACAACCGAATTCTGAACCAGAACTCACAT